ACAGGGAAAAATTATACAACAATTATCACCTGTTACATACTTAATTAAAATTATTAAGGGTAACATTTATAAGCGACATTTAAACCAAATAATTGATTGTATGAATAAAAATGGAACAGAAGTAGAAATTAATGGAGATTTATTAGAAGAATTACAAAATGCTGATAATAATAAGGGTAATATTAAAGAACAAATAGTTATAAGTGAAAGTGTTAAAGAGGCAGAAAAAGAAGTAGAATTGGAAACAGAGGATAAAGTTGAGGGGGTGGAATTGAGGAAAAGCCGTAGGGTTATTAAACCTCCTGTTCGTTTAGATTTATAGAGTATTGAATGTTAATTTATTATTATTATTATTTAATTATAATGTTCAAATTATTTAATAATTAATATGTACAATATTACTTATATTATTACTTATATTATTTTTTTTATTATTATACAATTAATATTATATTATATTCAATAATTTTATATGAAATGTAATTCTTATGTAAGTCGGGAGGACTGTAATGTATGTAGTATTCCATGATAATTAGTTTTAAGGTTATGTTTTTATGATATACTCTCTTGCTGAGTATTGTAATGTGTATTGAAACAACTATGTCTAATAAAGTGAATAATTAATTAATCTAATGTAATGTGTTAATTATTAGTACTCGGTACACCACACATACAATAATTGTAAATAATAATATGTATTGTGTAGAATGCTTGAACGTTAATATAGTCAAATTGACTCAAATAGTTGATACAAATTTATTATTACAAAATAATATTTAAAAAATTCAAAACTGTATTCTACATAGGTAAAATAATAATATAATACTGCATGTCGAAAAATAACATTGTTTGAAAACATTTCGGTTTAGGTTGGAACCATTAAATCCCCACGTATGTGTTAATATATATATTATATATATTTAATTTATATTTTCTACATAATTATTGACTTGAGTTGTAATATCCTAATCCGAACCAAACTTGATACCTATCTTTTGTACTATAGGAAATCACTTTTTGACGGTATGTAAGTTTTGACAGTTGAAGGTACAGTGTACACTAATATATTAACATAGGCATAACATTAGATTTTGCACTGAAATAGGTACATCATTATACATACTACAAAGGTAGCAAATATATATTTTAAAGTTAGATCCGAATATATAGAATATAAATCAATATTAGTTATTGCTCATATCAATATTGATTATAACACGTCCTTGAATTTTAAAATAACTTTTAGTTAAACATACAATGCCAAAAACAGTGTTTAAACTTTAATATTATGTTATATTTTATAGAAAAAATAAAAACGTGTAAACCATATTAAGTAGGTATTATGAACTTTAAATATTAAATCCATACGACTATACACTCAATCATATAAATTAAATTAATTTTCAACAACATGCATAATAAAATCCAATTCTCTGAATAACGTCTATTTTTTAAATTGGTGACTTTACTAGCATTTACGATTTCTTGGACTATTGTTTTTTTGTGAACTAATGTTCAACTAAATCATTTAATGATTTATCTTGTAGTTCACTCAATGTACAATTTAATTGGTTAATTTTTAATTTAAAGTTTTGAAAAATAAAATATTATAAAGTATTTTAATAAATAAATAGGTAATTAGTTTAAATTAATTTTACCTTTTGTTGGATTTCTTAACATTTTTCGATTTTTTTATCATCCCTTTAATTATTTTGTGTCTTGTAGGAGTGAGAGTTGTTCCAACATATGTTTTAGTTCTTATAGATAATCTTTTTTTATACTCTCTAAAATAAGGGAACAATGAATTGCACCTTTTACATCTTTTTTTTGAACTTGTTAGAATAGAACATTCATTATGGCGCCAGGTTGTATTCTCTAAATAAGTATTCTTAACCCGAATTCCTAAATAAAAATAAAATTGGTTTAAGTAGGTACCTATACAGCTGTTTTATTTAACATTTAAAACTCATACCTCAAAAATGTATGACACTGGGACCTCCTTGGCATATTTCTTATGTTCAAACAATTGAAGAGATTAATTTGCAATGTATCAAGTGGGTATGTTAATTTTTGTAGACCCAAATTTTCAGGATTTCGAAGCTTTTGATTAACATAATAGCTCACTTTTAAACTATTTGATTCAAAAACAATTTGTTTTTCAATAACAATTTTAGCTTCATTAAATTCTATGAATTTAATTAGCTTATACAATGCAACAATATATCCATCATGATATAATGACCAACCAACTGGCAATAATAAACTTTCATACCACAGTTTTGATTTCTTTAATCAGGGGCGGAGTGGGAACCAAATCCAGGCCGGGAGTTTAAAATTTATCCAGGCCACCCACCAAAATTTTTTTTCTCTCTAAGCTCGAATTTGGTTTTTCTATTTACTTATTTCAAAACTACCTACTTATAGTATTTTAAAAGTATTTCAATCACTATCTTGCTATTTCTTTTAACTTCTGTCTTCCAACACATTACATTAATATACCACTAAGTACTTATACCTGAAAGTCTGAAAAATAAAATTAATAGGTATGGTTTAATAGTTTAAATCAACGAAATATTAATAATTATATTATACATTGTGTTTTAATTGTTTAGGTATAGTAGATATAAGGTAATAAGTAATAGATATATACAAACATTGTAAACAATATATAATAAAAAAGATTTATACATTCATAGTAATAATTTAGATAACAGATTAGATTTCTCACCAACTGCATTTATGATAATATTGTTATCTATTTCCATGAGAATTTTATTTTCAATGGCCATAAGCATAAAAGACTCAAGATAATCATTGGTCATTGAATTTCTCAGCCTAATTTTTAAATACTTCAATGTTTAAAATGGGTGTTTTATTATAAAAATAACCGACCTATTACAATATTACAATATTATATTGCTTTGATTTTATTTGATGTCTATATTTATGTGCCAAATATTTTATAATTTTATATCCAAAGCTTTAATAATTAATTAATTAAAAAAAAAAAAAATTTAATAGAAACAAACATTTAGCATTAACTAATATTTTGTAAATTAAATTAAATTAAAAAAAAAATCTAACAAAATGGCCAGGCCACCAGGCCATAGTATGGTCCAGGCCATCTGGAAAATTCCCATTTCCAGACCGGCCACTCCGCCCCTGCCTTTAATAAATCATATGAACTATGAAGTTAGGTAGGTATATATAAATTAAATAATCTACATGGTCTATTATGACAATTAATCACAAACATAGGTAGGTACTATTAATGTTGGTGTTTGACATAATCTCTTAGGCTTGGGTTCACCAAACAATTCTTTCCTGAATGACTCAGTAACAGGTGTACAAGATTCTCGAGGTTCTGCAGACAAATCATTTGTTTTATGAATATCAAATGGTGAATTAAATACTGATGGAAAAGCACCTTTTTTTAGCCCAATTAAATTCCTTTTAAACAGTGTATAGAATTATTGAGTTATAATTTATAATTTATAATGACCAAGTAGGTACTTATACAGGGTGATTTTTTTATCGAAGAACACTCATTATTTCAAAAAGTATTAATGTTTAAGAAAATATTTTTTTACATAGTTTCAAGTTGTTAAAAAACAATATTTTTATTAAAAAATTATATTTTTAAATATTTTTTATCCTTTTAATTTTTTAAGTTTTTTACTTTTTTGAATGACAACATCTAATTTTAATTTGATATTCAAAAACAGAATATTTTTCTGAGTATTTCTATACATAAAAATTGAATTTAGGGCAATTAGTTTATGAGTTATAAGTATTTAAAGTTTAGATGAGCGGAGTAGAGTGGTACGGGGTTACCCCGCGAAATGTTTGTCCTCTACTCCGCTCATGAACATTAGAGGACATCTCTAATGTTCTCTAACTCTCTACTCTCTACTCTCTACTCTCTACTCTCTCTACTCTCTAACTCTCTTCTAACTCTCTCTAACATCCTCTAATGTTCATGTCCGTGACTCTCCCGTAGATATTGAACTTTCTCTCTTCCCCAAAAAAGACCGCACTTCTTACGAAGCCAGTTGTATAGGCGTGTCCTATCCATTCTTATATTATCTATGGACTATGATTGGTAGTATAAAACACGAACATATAACTAAGATATTTTAGTTCGTGGTATAAAAGCATAATAGAAGTCTGTGGCACGGACTAAGATATACCTTATATATCTGTGGTCCGTGGTCTGTGGCACGGACTAAGATATACAGGACTGGACACGACAAGGTTGGAGGGTGTGGGGGGGTTGACTACGAAATGTTTTACAACAGGCAGTGTTCGGGGGGATATTTTCCTTTTAGCATTACTAGCGCCGTCTTAGTGGATACTTATGGAACTAGAAATTTGTAAGATGTGTTCTAGTTCCATAAGTATCCACTAGGACGGCGCTAGTAATGCTAAAAGGAAAATATCCCCCCGAACTCCGCCTGTTGTAAAACATTTCGTAACCACAATATTCATCTCGTGTCCAGTCCTGTATATCTTAGTCCGTGGTCTGTGGTGTGTTATCTACTGGTCTCATAGATAAGAAAGATAGCCTTGTAGATAAGTAAGAAGTGATAAAAACACATGTTCGCCTGTTTTCAAAAGACAACATATTTATCAATTATCAAGTTTAAATATAACTGTTTTATTATAGTAAGGATTTAGTGTTCTATTCTAACTATTATGTGGTTACACCATACTTGATGTCTTCATACTTAACTTATATATCGTGTTTCTCAGACTTTCAGTATTAAGTGGTCTATAGTCAGAACTTATTCCTAACCTCAATGGTAATTTTACACTGTGCACAGTAAGTTGACGGGCCAGCATTTCGGTCACTGAGAGTTATTGAAATAAATATTTAGTGATGTTCTACATTATAGATAATCTTCTATGAACCGCTTTGGTAAGTAATAAATATTTAAGTCAAATATTTAATTTAGTTCATTAATACGTTAATTTTTTTATGTAGTGAATAATATTCTAAAATGGATACAAGCAATGATTATTTATTTGCTCTACAATTGCAAAACGAGTTGGCCAATTTTGAGGAAAATGAGGATCTACTAAATATAATAGGTGTGACAAAATCTAACACCAGGTTGGCTGCAGGCTCTAGTAGTGGAAGTGTAATTGATTTGACTGATATCAATACCAATGTTAAAAAACAGAAGCGTAATGCTATCGATGATTTATCTCGACCAATTAAACGGCCATGTCCTAAAAATGTAGAGGCTACCGAAAGTGTAGTAGACCATTCTTGGGAAATGTTGGATCCAAATCCAGACATACACGGTCTATTTTTGGCATTTAATCGACAGTATTTTTGGAGTAAATTGGACTCAGTCATGATACAGTGGAGCAAAAGGATGACAGTCTGTGCTGGTTTATGCAGATATGAAAATGGGTTTTGTTCCATTAGCCTTAGTGAACCACTGTTGAAACTCAGGCCTCGGAAAGATTTAGTTGAAACATTACTACACGAAATGATTCATGCATATTTGTTTCTTACAAATAATAAAGATCACAAAAATAGAGATGGACATGGACCAGAGTTTTGTAAACACATGTACAGAATAAATGCAGCAGCTGGTACTAAAATATCAATTTATCACGATTTTCATGAAGAAGTAAATGTGTACAAAATACATTGGTGGAAGTGTAATGGACCATGTCAATATAAGAAGCCATTTTATGGAAATGTAAGAAGGTGTATGAATCGTGCACCGGGGCCATATGATAGGTGGTGGACTCATCATCAAGCTACTTGCAGTGGAATTTTTATTAAAATCAAAGAACCCGAAGGGTTTGGATTGAAAAAAAAACCAACTGTTTCAAAACAAGTGGATGTTAAACCTGTTAATAAAATTACAAATTTCATTACAATATTGGATTCTCCAATGAACAAAGTTCATCATGATGGTTCTGAAATATGTTCTAAATCAAAAGAAAATGATCAAAAGTCTCAATTTGATAACAAATCAAACTCACCCACAAAGAAAGTTTCTGATGCAAATGCTAAAATGTCTTCTGAACCTAATGAATGTGATAAACAAAATGTTCAACAGGGTGTATATTTATTGAATGATTTGTATGAGGAAAATGATTTTGAATACAATGATATCAGTGATTTGTATGATGGAATTTCTCAATGTCCCATTTGCAATAAACCTGTGTTAACAGACTGGTTGAATGATCATTTACAAAATTGTAAACAGTTGAAAGAGATGTTTGGCGATGAAATTAATGATAAATGTAAATGCCCAGCTTGCAATGATACAGTTGATAGATCCTTAATGAATGAGCATTTAAATAGTTGTAAAATGTTGATCAATGTGTTTGAAAATGACTCTGAGGATATTCCTGATGATACTAATTATGTAAACTGTCCATGTTGTGATAAAATGGTCAAGGACAGCAATATTAATACACATTTAGATATTTGTATGTCAACAGAATCTCTAACGCCAAACGATGATAAAAATAATTTAAAATGTCCATGCTGTGAAAATATATTTAAAACTGTTATAGAATTGGATGATCATGTAGATAACTGTCCGTCAGTATGTTAATAATCATAATAAATTATTTTATATTTTATTTATTTTATATACTCAATAATTATTAATATATTACGTCATGACTCATGATATATATTTTTTTTTATCTTCATTGTATCTTAAATAAAATATACGTGTTGATTAATAGAAAATCCTGAATTGATTTTATTTTAAGGGAGTTGTATAGGAAGCACTAAGGTAAGATCAGAGCTCTTTTTAAGGGACTTCCTTGTCAAAAATCACATATAGACATAAGTGTTAATTTTCTAATTACAAATTTAGATTAATAATCCAACAGACCATGTATCCTGTAGGCTGTATACTCCCGTAACCAAATTTTTAAATTTAGAATAATTAAAATATATAAAAACTTTTGTTTCTGTGTGAATATATGTGTGACTGTCTATATAAAGACTATTAATATCTTTGTATCTATATGTATATAAGTATACAGCCATAATAATCCAATTTTTATTTTATTATTAACCAACCTTTTAGTATAAACTTCGTAAAACTCAACAAAAATAAATTTAAAAAACGTAATTGAACTAATTTAATTATAATGTTACATAATTTTTTTTTTGTTATATAATTGTTTTTTATTATATTTCCCATTATTTATTAATTTCATGATATAATTACGAGTAACCAGAGGATACTTCAATAATTGGTGAGAAGGTTAGGACATTGTAAGAAAAAAATATGACAACATAATATAAAATTTAATTTTTATTTTCAGTTTTTTTCCATGATACGCATGCGTAGCACAACTTATTTTTCCATGGGAGATCCATTTTGAATACAATTTTGGATTAGTTGAATTTTTTCAAATAATTTTGTACAATCAACTTCTTGTATGCTAAATTTGTAATAAAGCTATTTCAAATTGGGTTTTTTGTCTGTATTCTATACACAGGCAGAATTTGTACTATTTATTAATTATTTTCTTTAATAGGTAATAATTTAAGCTATATCAATAAACTTTGATTGAAACAAGGTATTAAGAAATTAAGGACATTGATAAAAAAAAGGTGGGCAAGTGGGTGTTGCTCTGCTGTACAGTAGGTTACAAGTGGGTCACTGTATAATGGATGATATTAAATTTGAATTCAACGATATAATATCATTGTATAAGAAAAACGATTCTGAGCGGAGACGGTACCTATGTCAGTCTATGTATAAGACATATTATATACATATCTATGGTATTAAACAAAAAATTGACCTATAATTGGTACCTATAATAAATTCCAAATTAATCATATCACAATATCCATTAGGTACTGGTAACGCGTTATACATCAACAAAAACCGTGATACTATCATAGATATATAATAGTACACTTTAGAAGTTTCAAGTACCCACGAATAATATTATTCAATCACAACAAAATAACTAAAATAGTTATTCTAGGTTTTTTAATATGTAATTTCGTCCAAATTTGAATTTAAAATGTCTGTAAAAAATAACTGTGTTTATATATTTTTTAGATTTTTTGGTTACAGTATGAACTATTTACGAGAACCTTTGTGTTGAATTTGCAATCATTAGCTATAAAACCTGAACATTTTATAATTTATTAATTACAATGATTGATAATTTTCGAGATTTTGATAAATGTTGTCAAAATTTGATCTTTAAATGCTTATAAAAAAAAACTGTGCCTATGTATTTTTAATATTTTTCAATTGATATTGTTACAATGTATCAGGAGCCTTGTATTAAGTTTTTACACTTTTTGGCCCAACAGATAAAACTTTATTGATATTTATAGAAAAAAAAACTAAAAAAAATTGAAAGCTGTAAATGTCCATAAACAGCTCAAAAAGAGTCAAAATATTTTCAAAATTGTATGGTGTATAGGAAATGCTAATATAAACATTCAGTGAAATTTTCATGTATCTACAGTTATTCGTTTTTGAATTACAACAAAATAAGGAAATCGCTACATGAGAAATCGAGAGAACATCCAATGTTGTAAAAATTTGAATTTCAAACGCTCATAAAAATTTAATTTGACTTTCCGGTAGAGATTTTTTTATTGTTAAGGTAGACAAACTCAAGAGTAATCTTGTATTACATTTTCAAATCTTAGATTTAAAAAGAAAAATTTTTACGAATTCTTAACTCAAAATAATTCGCTAATTTTCGTGATTTTTCCATATTTTTACAATTTTTGAACTTTAAATGCTTATAAAAAAAATTGTGACTAAGGATTTTTAATATTTTTCATCTGCCTTTGAAACAATATATTAGGAGCCTTCTATTAAATTTTCAAGCTTTCGCAACCAACAAATAAAATTTTATTGATATTTTAAGAAAAAAAACTAAAAAAAAATGGAAAATGAAAATGTCCCTAAACAGTTCAAAATAAATCAAAATATTTTGAAAATGTTATCGTGTATAGAAAATGCATATATAAACAACCAGTGAAAATTTCATGTATATACGTTCATTTGTTTTAGAGTTAAACCAAAATCGATTTTTTGGAAAACCAATTTTGCGTAAAAATTCCCGTTTTTCCTTAATTTTTATGTTGTTTTTCCCGGCGCTTGTGAAAACTACTGGGAAATTTATACTTTTGACCCCCGAAGTACCAACTAGATTCACTTTCCTATCAGAAAAGCTACTGATGAAGAAAATCCAAGCACTTTTACTGTCCTAAAACGTGATGACAGACACAAAAAAAAAATTTAAAAAAAAAAACACATCATTGTAAAATCAATACATTCATCGTTTCACTCAGAATCTAAAAGTTCATACTTGCCAATTAAATTTATTATTTGAGTTCTTATTAAGTTTATTCTAAATTTACAATATAAGTTGATACATGAAAATTACTTGACATAATTTAACCACTCCAAGTATTTTATTCAAAATAAAATAGTTGTGTGGTGCATACAAAGTTAAAAAAGGCAGAGAAGTGTTTGACTATAGAAAATATTTTAGTGTTGGGTAGTAACGCAACGCAAATTAAAAATTACTTTTACAGTAATGCTGTAGTAATTTAATTGTATTTTATTCAAATTAATGCAATTGTAACATAATTACCTTTTAAAAGTAATTTCTATGGACTGATTTTGTAATTAATTTTTTAATAAGTAACATTATTTCTAACGCACTATTGGACTATATAATATTTAACGTAACGAGTAATTTACTCACCGCTGCTAGTTGTCTACTTTTATGTACTGCTAATTGAATTCAAAAGACAAAAATATGCATAAGGTACTGAGTTATAGACTAGCGGTCGCTGTTTCAGTAAAAGAACTGTATTTGGGCATAAAATATATACAAAAGTAAATTGTAAACTTCTTTCTGACACTTCTTTTAGTTACGTATACCTATCTGTATTTTTATTTTTATTAGAAAAACTATTGAAAAATAAAAAAAAGATCTCTTCAAACACAGTAAAACCTCATTAATCCGAACAGTCGTTTAATAACATGTAAACGTGTATTTTGAACCGCAGACTAAAATAAACATGAAAAGGAATTTAAAGAATTTCCCATATATGCATGTGATTGTAATTATTTCTACAAAATACCAATAGCAAATTTTCATTCACGTTATCCAATTGTTAATTACATAATACATATTCTTAAATCTATAATACCAACATACACATATTTTGATTATTTTGTTTAATCCGGACTTTCATTAATACGGACAACCTAGAGCCCCAATCAGTCCAGGTTATTAAGGTTTTGAATTTTTTTTAACTTAAATAATTCTGTAACAAAGTACTTATAAAATCATTTTTCTAAAATCTTACAATTTTACATTTAGTCACCTTTTTGAAATAAAAATTTGAATTAAAACGGATTAAAAATTAGATATTTTTATAACAGAATTGTTTATTTTGTATATTGATCAACTACAAAAAGTCAGGAATATTATTTTAAATATCGTTAGGTACGTCAAAAACAAAAATGTTCTCTTTTTGAGCTTGTATAAACAAATGGCTTCAACTAAATATTCTAGTATAAATAAATATTGTATACCTATAACACTTTTTTTTTAACAAGTTACAAACATAATACTATACAATTTATTTTAACAAGAAATAAATATACATGTTATTGATTTATTTTTGTATATTTAACTACATCATAAAAAATTGCATTTCAAATGTTAAGTCACCTTAATACTGCTACATAAATTATGTAAAGGCCGGTCAAAACAATGAAGTTAAATACATTTTTCACTATTATATATAATCATACATTTAATACATAATATAATAAATGTAATGACTAATGGTGTATTTCTATTCCAAATGTAGATTGTACATATTTTTTTTACAGTTATATTGAAACAAGTTAAATTCAATAATTCTACATTTGGGTTACATACAAAATTATTTAAAACTAACATTTTTCTAGTAGCAATATAGATCACATCATTAATATATATTTCAATTTCATAATTGAATGAATAGATGACATGTGTGAAAAATTAATTAATAATTATGTAAAATTTATTAATTTGTCTTATTTTAATGATATGATCAATAACAAACAATACAAATTTGTGACAATATATTAAAGTATAAGATATGCCATTTTGAATAATTAATAAGGGGGCGTAAGATGATGCAGAGCAATGTTTCTACATGTGTTTTGACAAATGTTTATTGTTCAAAAATTCAGAAATTAATACTAAGAGCAATTTAGCAAAAATTACAAAACAAATAAAAATGTATGATCAGTTTTAGAAAAGAACACATTTTCTTATAATTATATTATAACCCAAATGCATTAAAAGAATACGTAAATATACAACATTGTCACCATAAATAAATCATCTTTATCTTTATAGTATAGTAATGGTGAATATATTAGTATTTTATTTCTAACATAACATATAATGCTATTCATAGTTTTACAAATATAATTTAAAATGTTACATATTCTGACCAACATATTTTTACTATAATATATTAATTGAATACATTTTATACTATAAAGTATGGACAAATTGTTCTCAAAAGATTTTACTCTATTTTGGTTGTTTATTATACATTGTATAATTAAATAGTAACATGAGACAATTATTCCATCATCTTCTTTTGGTTTATTATGTCTATAGCGATTTTATTGGTTTACAATTTTTGTACAATAAATGTTAGTATTAATCAGATTTTTAAACACATAGTAAATATTTAATAGTATTTAAGTATTATACATAACAAATAGTCATTTTATTAAAAAAATAAAAAATAAAATAAATAGGAACTAAAATTGTTCAATGCTATTATATTTTCATCAAGTAAATATATATTGTTAGTAAATTGTTTATCCTCAACAATATTGACATTATTTGGTTTTATTTTTACCTACTTTTTTTTATAAATATAATATATGATTTATACTACAAAATATATTACACACTGATTGAATTCAAGCCACTATATAATTTTAGTTAAATTAATATAATATTATTATTTATTGATTCAATTCTATTGTTATATCAATCAAAAACACCAATGGTTATATCTTTCAAAGATAATATTTGGTTCATTAAGTTGTAATAAGTAAGAATTCCAAAAATAATAAAACTATTAGTTCAGAATGCTTTGGATTTGTTAAATATTGTTTTTATAACATGAACATTTTTTTTATGACATTATTAAGTTTAACATTCATTCAATATATTTCAGAAAAATTCATAACGTTATAGAATCATTATGTTTCAGAGTAATGTTTAAAAATATTGTTGAAAATTTGCTACAGAACATAATTAATTTATAATGTTAAAATGTATTTTACTCCAGAACATAATGTATATATGAAAATACATAACATTTGTTACATAAGATTATAATTATTATTATTATCTTTGGTAACAAGTAATAATAAGTATGATTCATTCTTTGTTTGTAAAGACGAGTATAAAATATTTTTAAAACTTCAAAATGTTTATAATAGTATGGTCAGTTTAATCAGTGATTAACATATAGATATAGTCTAGATCAGGGGTCTTTATTCGAGGCCAACAAACATTTTTTAAGCATAGTATGTATAAACTAATACATGTTTTTATTACACATGCGGCCCGCTTTTTGAAGAAAGATTGAAGACAGCCTGGGTCTAGATTGTATTCAAAAATTAATTTTATAAATAATTTACAAATCAGAAATAGTAACTAGATTAATAAAAAAAAATATGTCAATTGCATATACAATTTACAAATTTCAGTTTTATGTTGGAAATAAATTAAGTGAATTTAGTAATACTCATAGTAATAATTTATTCAATATTTCCAAAATAAAAAAACATAAATTAATTTTACTACATATAAATAAAAAAGAAGACTATATTAATTATTATTTAATAATAATATTAATAGTTAAAAATAATCATGTATAAAATTTCAACTAGAAAACATAGCTTAATAAAATAAAGTTTTTTAGAAAAATGACTAGATATTTACTAAAATCTATTTTACTCAAGACCTTGTTAGTTGTTAGTTTTAAAATTTGATCTAATTTTAATGATAATACAAGTATATATTAGGTACCCAAAAAAATGAGATTTTCATATTTACAAAATATATAATTTTAAAAGCAGATTAGCTGGACAAGAGTTTGTTTCATTTCACTTACTATGACACAAGGTATATGTTGTTATTTTTCCAAATATGATATCAATGATTCAAAGTGGTGCACAATGAAGTATAGTGTTTGTGTTATTTTTCAAATTGTAAGTGCTCATAAAAATTGTGAGTAACAAATAAAAAATTGGAAAACAGTTGAGTTAACCTTGTATTAAAATTTAAAATATTTATATTAATGAACAAATTCAATCGAAAACTCAACTTAAGTCATAAATGTTCTGTGGAAATTAAAGCTATTGCGAATAATTTACTAAGTATTGTACATTATAACATGCATTTTGTTTGAATAACGTGCCTTTTGTGAAAAAATTGGAGAGTATTAATAATTTTTTGGTAAGTTAACCGGAAACTACTGAACATTTACAAAAATTAATTTTATAAAGTACTGTCTGTATTATTTTTCAATAAGTATTTGAGATTTTAGGAGGCTATATGAAATTTTACTGCCCCAGAAAATTATGTTTTCATTTGGCAAAACTCACAAAATCATTGTAAAAACAAAAATGTTCTCATGACTGCTTTAAATATAAATTGCTATATAATTTAAAATCTTTTTTTAACTACTTTTATGTAGTTTTTTTACTTCCTCTTGGCTTAATGCTTTCACTGATTTGCCACATGGCTTCTTCACATAAAAACTCATCAAAATTGTTAAAGAATGCAATGATATGATCATGTTTCTTGAAATTGTAGCATCTATAAAAATATTTTGGAATAAGTATTCATTAATCCAATATATAATAACATATTTTTACCCTTTTTTAAATCTCTTCATATTTTCAACAATATTAAACTGTTGCCATCTTTTGGAAAAATTTATTATATTATCTGATATATAATCATTGTTACCAATGTGTACAAATGTTAAATCTTGTAATACTAATCCTCTGAAATAAAAAAGTTTATTAAATGTTGATGTAATCTTAACAATCAATAAAACAATATATCCATTTTTAAGTATTTCAATGTTATAGTAATTATGTTAATGGAAGTTGGACTACTGTAGCAGAAATGTATTATTCCTTTAGTGTAACTAATACAAAATAGAAACTGTTAAATATATAGTAGACGGCAGCCTCTAAGTAATAGATCAGTTTCTGTCTACTATAGCCCACCCCAAAAATTATTTCTATATACGCCACTGGACCATGGTTACTTTATAATGGTGCTTAAGTCTATAGGCATTGGGAATTCCCTTCTCTCTTCGTTGTACACTAACATCACTAGCAGAAAACAATTCGTAAAAATCAAAGATGCTGTCTCCGAGTTATTTGTGATACCATTTGGTGTCTCTTAAGGAGGTAAGCACTCACCTTAGTCCTTTTATTTATTTTATTTGTTAACTCAGTCACTAAGTGGATCACAAAGGCTCAACTTCTTCTTTTTTCAGATGACATAAAAATATTCCTTAAAATTGATAGTCTTAATCAATGCCATATTCTACAATCTGAACTCAATATTGGGCGCACAGTATTTTGTCTTAGCCTTAATAAAAACAAATGTCACGTTATGTCTTTTTCTAGAAAGCGGTCTCCTATTCACTATAACTATTCTTTTAATGGCCCCACTCTTGACCGTGTTTTCCTTAATAAAGATCTTGGTATTCATTATATTCCAGCATTGAACTTTGAGTATCACATAAATGTCACGGTAAGTAAGGCTTTAAAAGTCTTGTGATTTATTAAGCACAATACCAAACAGTTTTCTTCTGCTCGTTGTCTGTGCACATTATATTTCTCATTAGTATGTTCAATATTGGAATATGGAGTGGTGGTGTGGCATCCTTATTTGGCTAAAGATGAATTAAGACTTGAGTGTTCAAAACAGGTTTCTTTCCTACATTGCCCATATTATGAAGATAGAATACCCTAGTCACGATTATGCCTTATTCAGTAGTATATTGGAAATACCACTCCTATCATCACGTCGACAAGATGCTGACGAGCACTTCATAACCTCGTTCCTAGGTGGCACAATAGATGCTCCTATCACCTCTCCAACATAAGAGAATCCCTTAATTCTTCTCCAGAAATCACTCCCTCTTTCAAGTACCAACCCACAATGAATACAATGGACATAGAATGCTCCATTAACTAAATAATGTTAATTTTGATTTTAATATTTATTAAATGTATTAGTTATAATTTTGCTGTACTATTTCACTATATTACCATTAAGTTTATATTGTGTTGTATTTTCAATATGTTCTGTGTTACTGTGTGCCATAAATATCTACTACTTATATATTAAATTTAAAATGTAATCATAAAATTAACGATTAGCGTTTATAAATAAATAAATAATTATAATAGATCTGAAGAAAGAATTTAGTAGTTGCGATAATAATATAGGATATTGTACTGTAAATACATTCATATAATAAGTTGTAAAACCAAAAGTACTATTTTCATAGTTGAAAATGGTTTGTTCAGAAGTTTTAGATTAGAAGTGTTTTGCACAAAATGTGTGTTTAAAATAAAATAATTATATCTTGAATAAACTGGTCTAGACATAATCATTATTTATGTTAGTTGGTTGATTAATTTCCATTATTATAAGAATTAAATTTAAATATGTTAAAATGTTATAAATTCTCTTACATGTAAGGGATGCAAGGAGGATTCGTGTCAGCTAAAGCTTGTCTATATGCTCTAAAACTTGATGAGCTATCAATCAGTGCACAGTATTCTTTTAATCCTTCAGTTATATATTTTTGCCATTCTAAACGTCTTATTGGTGCACTATCTAAAGCAGATAAAAGGGCTAAATATGAATTAAAATTATTCATCTTTCTTAAGCTTTTCATTATTTTGATAAACTTTAAAACATAACGTTCACGTTCTTTAGCTTCATTTTGTTCTAGTATGCGCGATCTTGCCCTAAAAAATATGTATATGATATGTATATGTATATGATGTACACAGTGATTCACCAAGCATGCTCACACAGATTTTTCCTATAATTATGATTTTGGGGATTTTTAAGGATACCTAAGTACCATATTATAAATTATTTAGATTTTTTATTAAATTTAAGAAATGCTATATGGTGATACAATCTTCTTTTTATCAAATAAGAACCAAACTGTTTTACTGATTTATTTTTGAAAATTTTTATGTATCTGAATCATAGTTTGAAGAAGTAGTTTCTAACTTATTAAAATGATTATTCTAAGAATAATGGTCATTAAAAATGGTTTTACAAAAATAAAAAATATACATTAAATTGGATCTAGTATTTACTATTTACTAGATTCATTAAACAGAAAACTTTCACAGTATATAAAATATTGATAGATAAAATGTTCAAATAAACATTTTCCTTAATCTTCCAAACCCATTATCATGGACCTATCATCCTAGTTCTTTAAAATTTTGATTAAGGTACATTGAAATTATCAAAATAGTTATCTGATTAAATAATTAGGATACTTCTTAAACAACATCAAAAATCTAAGTATTTGAAAATATGGTCCTTAAATATACTTACTTCAAAATTCCAAAAATCAGAATTTGAATGTATTAATTACTAAAGGAAAAAATAGGGATAAATATGCTTAGTGAATCAACCTGTACAATAATACATAATAATTATATATAATTCATGTTTTCCTTAAAAACACATACCAGTAGGACATTTTGTTAAAATGTTCTGTAAATTCTGTGAGATTTGGACTACGCTCTTCATTTTGTTCCTTAACCCAAATTAAAACTTCCGGTATCTCAATTTTCATAAACAGTTCTGAATCCAACATTGTCATTTGTTCAGCAATAAGTTCTGTCTTATAGTCTAACAAAGTAGCTTGACGAGTATATATATTTTGAGATGGTAACAGGGCATTTATTGAAGTATTATGCACCATTTTTGCCTGATACCTTTCCAAAAGTTTCACTCTAAGTGCTTTTGCCATAGTTAAATCTCCAGCACATAATAGTTGATACACAAATTCCATAAGAATTTGCAGCACTTCATTATCTAAGTCTGTTAAACTATTGAAACTTTTAAAATAATTGTTCTCATAATTTTAAATTTTGTTTTTACTTACGTTAAATCACTAACTACTCTAACCAACAAAGAAAATGATTCTCGACCCGCTCGTTGCCTATTCAAATCACCAGAGTTTTGGAATCTTTGGTGTCGCATGCATAGTTTTTGAATTAACTCTAAAGGTGATATAAATGTCCTATATGTTGTTAAAAACGCTTCTTGATACATAAAATCTAAAGTAATGATAAAAATATTAAAAATAAATAGTAAATAATATATACAAGGTTATCCATTTAAAGTGTCTTTACTCATCATTTAATTTCAAAAAGTTTTAATTTTTTGGAAAATATTATTTCTGCATAATTTAATGTCATTGCAAAAAATCATTTATTACAATGTTTTGTCTTAATAATTTTTAAATTTACTTTTTTGAAAAAGTACATTTTCAATTTCATATTTCAGAGCGGAATATTTTTTTTGGTAGATCAAAAATCAAATTTTTAACGAGTAAATAGTAAATTATTTGTAGAACACAGATTTTTATGCAATTGTTTATAGGATTTTTGAGTTATCTTTACAAACTGTAATAGTTTCAGCTAATGACAACATTTAATAATTATTGCATATTTAAAGGAAAATAAATTGTACACCTATTTCCAAAATGTAATAAAGGTGTAAACCAATATTTTGTCTAGTGAACAATTCCAATAATGAAATTATTTTTCCACAATTTAGTTTTACATTAAGCTAATATCGATTTAAGGAAGAGAACTTTCATGTTCATATTTTTAATAGCAAATGATAATTAGTCAGTCATCAATAACTTTCCGCTACGCAATGTCTTTTAGTGCATACTTTCGTCAATATGCTATAAATAAGTAATTCCTTGGCTTACAATTTTCGAATGGATGAATGGATTTCCTCGGAAATACAAAAAAGGAGGTTTTTTCTACTGATGGAAAATTAATATTTTAAAACCATTGTAGAAAACATACAATCAATCATATGTTAAACATTTTCACTAAAAAAATTAATTGTTTTTTTTTATTATTAAGCAGGTACTGAATTCAGTTTAATTTATTTTAAATTAAAAAATTAAATTGATTATCTAATTTGAAAAAAGTTATAGGATGCATTTACTTCATATTTATGAAATTTATGATACTTTAAAATTCCTTTCCTTTTGGGTTATATGTATTTAAAGTTTAAATAAGTGGAGTAGTGGACTAGCATCTGAAGGGTACCCTATATTATGTCACTATGTAAATTATCTCAACTTTAAATACATACAACTACAGAAAGGAATTTTTTTTAAAGTATCATAAATTTCATAAATATGAGGTAAATACATCCTATTTTTTTTTTATATTAGAAAATCGAAAAATTTTATTTTATGTATAATAATTATTCATTTAAAATAAATTAAACTGAATTCAGTACCTACTTAAAAAAAAACAATTAATTTTTTTAGTCAAAATGTTTAACATATGATTGATTGTATGTTTTCTACAATGGTTGTAAAATATTAATTTTCCATAGGTGGGAAAAACCAATCTAATCCTATCTAAAACCTATTGGACCTAACTAATTGAATAACTCATGCCAAATTCAATTTGGATATATTGAAGAATTCCAAATATTACAAATATTCTGCTTCTGAATATGAAATTTTATGGATTTTCTAATAAGTTATAACTTTTCAAAATTTTAATTTGTAATGTTTACCATTTTTAACTGCGTTTGTTGCATGAACTACAAGAGCATCTGCGTGTCCACCTCGAACAAGTGGTCCGTCTTCTTCTGGTTTTTTAAATACTAGCCATTGAGATACATTTAATTCTTCCATAATGCTAACTTCGCTAATATCAGTTTGTAAAGGTTGTTCAGTAGTACTTGGTGTAATATCCCTGGAAAGCATAAGTTATGTTTTACTTAGCAATGGGCTAAAAAATTCAAACACTGGTGAAAATAAAATAATTGAATAAATCAAAAATATAACTATAAATTATTCACTTAATAATTAGTATTTGTTGAACACATGGACATAAAATCTGTTTATAATGTCAATAAAACAAATAACCATATTATAAGCTATAAAATGTACACAACACTACTTAGGAAGTTTACTCAATTAATGCTTGACTTAGTTTAACCTTCAATATATTGTTGCTTATAATAAAAAAATAGAAATAAATAAATATTTTTAGTACTCTTACTGAATTTCTAAACACTGAGTTTGAATTGGAGTTGATATAACTTCAGTTATGTATACTTTATTTGGAGAATTTGGTGGTGTTAGTTCTCTATAAGGAGATGTCATTACTTTACCACGTTTAGGTGGTAATGCTGGTGGATCAGAGTCACTGAAATTATGAAAACATTTTTAAATTTAAATAACTTCTTGAATATAAGATTTATAAGTATGTTACATACTTGGTAAAGTAATACTGTTGACAAGAATTTTCAACACTATAACTTTGGATTTCACTCTGATACTTTTGAGGTGAATGCCAATTACTTTGATGAAGCATTGTGTATGTATGAACAGAATGACGTAAAAATTCCGTAGTATTCCCATGTGTACAATTTCCAAACATTTCCATGTATGCCATTACTACAATAATTTAATGTATAATATAATTTATAATATTTAAATAAAGAACAAAATTCTATATTCACTCTAAACTATTTTCAAATTAAATTTGATATAGTTTTTTTCTAACTAAATGGTAACTAACATGCACAAAAAACCTATATTTTCAACATCTTACCCGAATAGGCCACCGAATGAAACACTAAAGAAAAAGAAATTAACAACTATACTTTTGTTTATTATAAATAATAATTATATTAAAAAGAAAATTATGAGTTGAACCATTCAATTACAGTGGCAGATATCGTGGGGAGGGGGCGGTCCAGCAACCCCCCTTGGACTTTTCGGCACCACATGCGGACCACCCCATGGGAGGGGTTGAACGTCATTCCCTCTGTGGATTTGAAATTCGCCCCCCCCCCTTAGAACTAGGATATATCCGCCACTGTTTAATTAGCATTTTAATAATATTATTCATAGATCATTATTTGTTGTATTATTATAAGGAAGAATTTATTAATTTATTAATTCATGATTGTTTGAAATCAAATATACATAATAATAGATAGGGTTCGAGACTTCTTGCATTTGCAGGTTTTTCTGTAGTGGTCGTAGATTATTCTAGGTAAGTTATAAATATGGTCCGGAACTTGATGTATTTGCATCTTTTTTTCTAATGCTTACAATTGAGATTTTTCTTTACAGAAATTTGATTCATGGAATATAGAATTTAATGGCACAATTTTTATTTCGCATTTATGGAATCTATTCCTTTACAGTGATTTTTTAGTATTTTTGGTGCATTTTATTCATTTTTGTATCTAGTTTAACAAATATTTGAATTTTTCTTGATGAAAGTTACACTTTATTGTAACACATTCAGTTTCCATTGGCTGTTGGTACGTTCATTAACTTTATCGTTTGTTGTCGCAATCTACAATTATTTAATAAACTGTTGGCAGATACTATTTTAGGCCCTGTTATCAGAAGAAATTTCCCAAAAGTTGATCAACTTATTTCAAACTGCCAAAAATATTTTTGAAGGCTCCTTCGAGAGTAAACATTTTTAAAGAGCTAGCACCTATAATAATTTATGAGACATGAATTATATAAAACGTACATTTTTAAAAATGTTAAGTCATTATAAGGTAATTTTTGGTATTTTTGTGGTCAATTTTCATGTTTATAAGGGCCGGTTGTAAAAAACTATTTGTGCAACCGGCCCTAAGTCATTTTAACATTATTTTTTTGTGTGCATTTTTTAAAGATTTTTACGTCATTAAGTTCCAGGCTCTAGTTATAAATTTGTTTCATGAAATTCCAAAATTGAATACAAAGTTTGAATTTGCATATTTCTACATATTTTGACATATTTTAGGAAAAATGAATATTAAATTTCAGTAATTGTTAGCATATTTTGTATTTTATAAAATTTTTATGTACGTACAATTGTTGGGAAAAACCATAATAGGATATCATTGAAAAATATTTCATAAAATAAATTATGTTTGGGTAGACAGCATAGGTGCAAATAGTGTTTGAGATTTGGGGAGGCTGATCCCATATGCATCATCCCTGAAGCCCTACCATTATATAATTCAAAAAGCTTAAAAAAAATCTACAAAACGTTTGCGAGGGCTGTAAAAAATGTTGAGGGAGGCGGCTTAACCACTAAATCTCTCTTCTACTTGTGCATATGGTATGTAAGGTTTTATGAGTCTTTGTGTCAAAACTGTGGTAAAACTAATCGACATTTCGATTATAGATTGAAAATCGGTAGATACGTGTTTGTTTATCACACTATTCGCATATTTTTTATTTATTCAGCCAAAACAATAACAATTAAATAATTACAATAAATTACATTAATAATAGCTGATACGTATACCAATTGAGCTATAAGCTATATCACAATATTTGTTATTTCTTAACCCAATACATGTACTAGTATTTTTTTAAATCAAGTTGTTTTATTTCACGATAGTTTAAAAATGCCTACAACATGCAATTATAATGTTTATCATAATCAATAAATCAATATATATTATAATAAGTAACACCCCAGTAGAAATTATTTGTATTATGTTTATGTACCTACTAATTTTTGAATTTTTTATTTCCAAAATTGTAATATGTTATATTATGTTTTATGCATTTTTCAAAAATATTACAAAAATTTAGCTGTATATGTATAATCATATATTTTGACAATTTTGACTGCATATTTCGATAATTTTGAGAGCAACAAGTCCCAAACCCTAATATTAATAACTAAATATTTTTATCAGTATTTTTTATAGAATGAAAATAAAAAATTTAATTTATTTTTTGTTAATTTTTAACAAATATAATTGTACACCTCTAATATAAATGTATTCCATGACATGCATACCTCTAATGTTGTAGAAAATATTAAACCTTTTAAATTATCTGGTTTCAAAAACGGCAAAACTTTTTAAAAGGAAAATATTTATGTTTCCGGTATTATTTTAATACTTGTATTAAGATATGGACATATTTTATATTTATTCTGAAGTTTAGAGTAATATATTCTGGTTTTAATATAACTTACTATGTTTCTTTTTCAATGGTAAAGGTGGTGGATTTGAAGGATCGACTGCAGGGTTATCAAGTGATGCAGTATGTGTTAAAGCTTGAATACTACAATGACTGTTATTTCTATGAAAGTTATATTGTGTGGCCATTTCATCCATAGATAAATTGTCATAAGTAGACCTCAGCCTTTGTCTAACTATACGTTTTTTTTCTGGAACCGGTGGTGGAATCTAGTAAAATTTAAACTTTCAATTAGGTATTGAATTACACAATAAACACATTATATATTATAAAGTTTAATGTAAAATAAATTACTTCATCATTTGATATTGAACAATTAATTTCGTTTGATACTACGGTTCTATTAGTGATTTGGTGTATAGTTGTGGATTTAGAATGGGTCCAAACTTGATTAGATGCCTGATGAATAAATGCAGTTTTCTTTTCTACCATTGCTAATAAACATAATTATAATTAGGTATTCGTCTATAATTAAAATACATGGCAGAAAAGAAATCAATCCTTCTTTTAATGACACAATTTCCAATATTTTGTCTAAACAAATTGCAAATGACAAAATTGATATTTAATATATACTATTATTAATTAGCTTTGTGACATTCAAACCAGCATTCAGAAATCTTAATGTTATTTCAATAAGTAAGAAATAAAATTAGAAATACATTATATGAGAAGTGGTGCATATCGTAGCTGTAACAATGAACAGGTATGTATAAAATGTGTGTGAGAGTGTGAACAAAAACATTTAGTCATGAGTACTAATAGTTGATGTATACATTATATACAAACATCATAATATTGCTTAATATGTTTCTCCACAATATATAACCTAACTCTTTGCCTATGATATTTTACTAATAGTTTTAAATTTAAATTAAATTCTTTAAAATAGGAAAAGAGTTGATTTAAGCTGTAGCTTTAAAATGTTATAGATGTTATAATGTTAACTTACTATGTTGAGGTGGATACTCGGAAAATGGAGATATTCGTTTTTCATTACCTTGGTCCACTGAAGCAGAACTGGAAGAACAGTTACAATACCCACATACATGGTTGGCATCATCTAATAATTCATATAATTAGTATTAAATATTAATATTTGATAAATGAATATTAACATATTAATAGCTTACTAGTTAAAAAAGAACTATCATCATTGCACATAACAATATTAACTTCATCATCATTTAAAATTGAATCCAGCGAACCTATTGATGAAGATCTATCAGAAAGGCTTAATGGTTCTAAAGATAAGTTGCATAGGGTATGCTTGGTGTTATTATGTCCAGTACGACGCTTTGGTGGCAAAGGAGGAGGAGAATTATTTTGGTCAGTCTTTTTTAACCATGATCTATTTAAGAAAAATTAATGTTAATCATTAGACAATATTTCTACTATACATCACAAACATTAATCTTACCGATCAGGTAAAGGTGGCTTTGAAGGAGGGTTACAGTCAACAGTATCAAAAGAATGATTACTCGTTTGTTCTAATATTTCTCTTTCCCTCGGTGTTAATGGTATATCTGGTAAAGAAACTCTTTGCTTCAGTTCATCAGGAAGTTTCAATGAGTCCTCGTCTTTGTATACAGTTTTAAGTACACCGTGGTTAAGTTTGTCATTAGTTAATGATACCAAGTTCTAAAATTCACCAAAAATGTTAGTTTAACATAGTTAATATAAAATATACATCTGTATATTATATAGAAAACAGAATAATAACTGTGCGACTATATTATTTTAATACCTGAATAGCTAGCTCTACCAAACGCAGTATATCTGATACATTATCCGTATTGATTGCTTTTTCTCCAAATATGAGAACATCATCACATAACTTAATCAATTGTGCTACGCTTTGGTACACTTGATTTAAAGCAGATACAACTAGTGAACTTTGTTCATTGATATCGTATGATTTAAACACCCCACAGATTGTTGTTACTGTTTCTAAAACTACTGTACCATTTCCCGGTAACATTTCTAGTTTATTTTTTGTTACTACATCAAGGAAATGTCTTAAGGCTATCTGAACCTAAAAATTTTTTTTTATATACATAATATATTAGTTTGGTAATTTAAATATAAATAAAACACTAATTAAGGGGATTCCATACCATGATCTGCTGTTTTTGTCTAACACATGGGCGACATAAGATTTTAAACGGATTCTTTGCCAAACATACCAATTGATCTAATGAAGCAATAAGAATTCTAAAAACAGATTTGAATTTGTCATCAAGTCTTCTTGCAATTGACTTTCCCACAATTTTGATTTTTTGATTTTAGCTTCTCAAAAAATTGAAATACAAACATGTTTAAATACTCTTTTTTAATATGACGTTTTCTGGAATTTGGGGGATAATACCAAAAATGTGGGAAAGTCAATTGCAAGAAGACTTGATGACAAATTCAAATCTGTTTTCAGAATTCTTATCACTTTATTAGATCAATTGGTATGTTTGCCAAAGAACACGTCTAAAATACTATGTTGCGAGTGTGTTAGACAAAGTCAGAAAATCACCCGGTAGAACCCAGTTAAGATACTTTCAATAAAATAAACGGTATGATTAAAACTTACTTGTCTAACATGAAAGTCGATGTCATTAAGGGATCGCTTAGGACTACTTCCTGATGAAGCATGTCTTTGCTTTGGCAAACCATTTTTAGGAGAACCACTCCTGGAACTGATGGTACTATGGCTAGGCGATCGCATCGCAGATGATATAATATCCAACAAATCTTCTTTAAATGAACGAGCTCGTCTTGCAAATTTATTACCACTACCAATGTTACTATTCCATTTTTTGTACTTTTCATCCGGGACAACTCCTTATAGCAAACAATAAAAATTAATATCACATTTATTTTTAAAAAGAAAACTTCATTAATATAGAACAGTTAAAGTACACTTTGTCAAAGATGACATAGGAAGTTAATATATTACACTTTACTACTATGGGTACTGGGTAGTTACTTATTTGTGAACCATGATTGATGCAAGTACACAGACGACAGAGATAAAGAATCTAAAAATAGAGCGTCCAACCTAAGTGAGTGGGGTACGATACTACGGCCGTACATACTACACAGTATTATGGTACAGAACATGAATGACGAATGTGGAATGACTATACACGTTAAATGTCTCTCAGACATGTAGTCTCATACCAGTATACCACTTTCAAAGCTCAATCGAGTCTGTCGTGACATTTTAGTTTGCGCACTGTATTGACTACGATATCCAATTCTTGTACCTACCGATAAACACATTTCACATTCAATAGAATCCGAGAAAATAGTTTTCAATATTTCATACTCAATGAATACGTGTATGATGCCTACGTAGTACGTAATTGTAAATATGGAATCGTTAAAACAATAGATTGTATAGTATTGTACCTACCTATTTGATTATTACGTCACGTCTACTACGGATTACGGTATCAATGATCAAGGTTACCTATTACTTATCCATACTAAATACTTAGTCATTCGTTTTAATTTAATACAGATACAGGATGTACTTATAAGGCATAATATATAGGCACTAAATGAGTAACCCGGTTTGGACAGAATTAGGACGGATATACGTCATACTGTTCGATACAAAACAATATTAATGGGGAAATTTAAGATTATAGAATAATTTACCCAAAAATTACTATCAAAAAATATAATAGTAGGTACTTAGTAGCACTCAAATAACAGTGCATTTTTTTATTTTATCAAATAGTAAAATGTACAATCTTTACAGAGACAACTATTACGATAAGCAAATATGATATTTACAAGAATAAAATTACGAGAATATTGTGTTGAGGTCTGAGGAAGTAACCCAATAGTAACACCTTTTTGATAGGTACCTAACTTTTAAACATAATATTATTTGTTGTTTTCATTATACACCGGAATTTACAGTAGTACATAATACATACCTACTAACTATTTGTAGTTGCTAATATACTCACTTTTGTCTTATAGGTGCGTAATTTTTTTAGAAAATATTTGTATAGTAAAATACATTTGTAAGTATAATAGCAGGCCCTATTATTTGTAAAATTTCGGAATGCACGTTTCATTTTATTCTCGCTACCATCTTAGCAAAAGGAATGTATTACATAATACATATTACATAATATATAATATATATATATTATATACCATATGTATACAATAATTTAACAATGCAATTTAATAAAACAACAAAATACTTATCTTTTAATAAAATCATAAAAATTAAATAGCATAATATAATAATAAAAACCTTAACTTAACTTTTTAATAATTAAAACATAACAATGCATATTACTTTCTTGATTTTTCATCAAGTAAGTATAGTAATTGAAATGAAAAAAGTCTGAACTTTGAAAGCTTCAAGAATTTGTGTTAAATAGGAAAATAATAAAAATGTAACTCAGTAATGATGAATAGGTGGGTAATTTAGCTAGCTTTAATATCAAATATTAATAAGAGAGATTTTATATCACACCCAAGCGGTATACCCAATTTGAATCGATAAAAACATTCGCGTGAACAGTCTCAAAATTTCTATTTTTTAACTTTTATCCTAAACTATGATACCTAGCTAGAAATTTGGTTGATAACTCATTAAAAAGGGATTATCAGGTAGACACTAAATATGGAATTAATTTTTTTTTTTTAATTATTTAATTTTTCACAGATAAAAAAAAAAGAGTTATTTTCTCTAGATTTTCATTTAGAGATGTAGATCTCCGAAACTGGAGAACGGATTTTGTTGTTTGGGGTCTTGTTAAATTCACATTTGCTAGGAGAATTGCAGTGAAGATTTTCAGAACTTTATCTAAAATCGTTAATTCATTACAAAGCTGTAAAGATGAAAAACATAAAAAAACGCCCAATAAAATTTGTTTTAATTTATTTTAATGTTCTGTAGTGAATTAACTATTAAAGATAAAGTTCTGCAAATCTTCACTACACTTCTCCTAACCAATGTGAATCTAACAAGACCAAAATCAACGAAATCCGCTGTCCGGTTTCGGAGATCTATCTCACTAAATGAAAATGAAAATGATTTTTTGTGGGGCTGTTCACGTCGACATTTTTCTGGATTCATATTGTTTGACCGCTTGGGTGTGATTAAATCAGTTAAAAAATTTCTAAAAATTCAAAATCAAGAAAGTTTACATGCCGATCCCTGACTTGGCAATTTTTGTTTTGTAGACCGTAGTGCACACTTGTATATTCGTAGTGCACATTGTGTGTCGTGGTGCACATAAAAATAGGGCCTGTATAATAGTATCGTAATTCGTAAGTATCTATATGATAATATTATGTAATATATTGTATAATATATTTATTTATTAGATTCTGAGTGGAAAGATGAATGTATTGATTTTACAATGATATGTTTTTTTTTGTGTCTGTGTACACGATAAGTAGTCGTAATAATGCTTCGATTTTCAACTTCAGTAATTGTAATTCAGTATCTTGTTCGATGGGAAAGTGAATATTGTTGGTGCATTGGGGTGGTCAAAATTTAAACTCCCAGTAATTTTCAAAAGCGCCGTGAAAAACAAAAGAAAAATTAACGAAAAACGGGAATTTTTAGTATTTTTTACGCAAAATCGATTTTGGTTTTGGGTGTAACAATAAAACAAATGACCATAGATACACGAAATTTTCACAGGTTGTTTATATTTCCATTTCCTATACATGATAAAATTTTCAAAATATTTTGATTTGTTTTGAACTGTTTAGAGACATTTTCAGTTTCCAATTTTATTAGTTTTTTTTTTCTATGAATATCAATAAAACTTTATTTGTTGATTAAAAATACTTGAAAACTTAATACAAGGCTAATAATATACAGGGTGTCCCGTGAGGATTTACCTATTAGCCGTAGAGGGGGACTCGCCGCCCGGACAAAAACCGGTTTTTTGCCGTTTTACTTATTAATTAAAAAAATTATTAAAAATCAGGAAATTAATGAAATTAAAATGTTGAAACGTCAATATTTTCAGAAAAATGAACTCTACAAAATGGCAATCTTCAATATTTTTTTAAATAATTAATTAAAAAAATAATTTTTTTAACTTTTTACCAAAACATAAAAAAAAAGGTGGGTAAGTGGATGTCGCTCTGCTGTACTGTAGGTTACAAGTGGGTCACTGTATGATGGATGGTATTAAATTTGAATTCAATGATATAATATCATTGTATAAGAAAAAACGATTCTGAGCGGAGGCGGTATGTCAGTCTAGGTATAAGACATATTATATACTTATTTATGGTATTAAATTATATGGAATTTATGAATAAATTATTCATTGCCCCTTAAAATATGCACAGTCTTATCATTGAGCATACTTCTTATTCCTTATACTATGGTAGATTGTATGGATAGGCCATAATGTGTTGATTTTTCAGTTTCATATATCCCCGAATAATATTTTTAAATTACAACAAAAAACCAAGATCGTTAATATTGATTTTAATATGTAATTTCGTCCAAATTTGAATTTAAAATGTCTGTAAAAAATAACTGTGTTCATATATTGCTTAGATTTTTTGGTTACAGTATGAATTATTTAAGAGAATCTTTGTTTTAAATTTTCAACTCTTAGTTATAAAAACTGAACATTTTATAATTTTTTAATTCCAACGATTGATAATTTTCGAGATTTTGATAAATTTTGTCAAAATTCCAACTTTAAATGCTTATACAAAAAAACCGTGCCAATGTATTTTTAATATTTTTCAACTGATATTGTAACAATATATCAGTAGCCTTGTATTAAATTTTTACACTTTTTGGCCCAACAGATAAAACTTTATTGATATTTATAGAAAAAAAAACTAAAAAAAATTGAAAGCTGTAAATGTCCATAAACAGCTCAAAAAGAGTCAAAATATTTTCAAAATTGTATGGTGTATAGGAAATGCTAATATAAACATTCAGTGAAATTTTCATGTATCTACAGTTATTCGTTTTTGAATTACAACAAAATAAGGAAATCGCTATATGAGAAATCGAGTGAACATCCAATGTTGTAAAAATTTGAATTTCAAACGCTCATAAAAATTTAATTTGACATTCCGGTAGAAATTTTTTTTTTTGATAAAGGTAGACAAACTTATGAGTAATCTTATATTACATTTTCAAATCTTAGATTTAAAAAGAAAAATTTTTACGAATTCTTAACTCAAAATAATTTGCTAATTTTCGTGATTTTTCCATATTTTGTCAATTTTTGAACTTTAAATGCTTATAAAAAAAAATTGTGACTAAGGATTTTTAATATTTTTCATCTGCCTTTGAAACAACATATTAGGAGCCTTCTATTAAATTTTCAAGCTTTCGCAACCAACAAATAAAATTTTATTGATATTTTTAGAAAAAAAACTAAAAAAAAATGGAAAATGAAAATGTCCCTAAACAGTTCAAAATAAATCAAAATTTTTTGAAAATGTTATCGTGTATAGAAAATGCAATTATAAACAACCAGTGAAAATTTCATGTATCTACGGTCATTTGTTTTAAAGTAACACCAAAAACCAAATTCGATTTTTTGGAAAATCGATTTTGCGTAAAAATTCCCGTTTTTCCTTAATTTTTATGTTGTTTTTCCCGGCGCTTATGAAAACTACTGGAAAATGTTTACTTTTGACCCCCCAAAGTACCAACTAGATTCACTTTCCTATCAGAAAAGGTACTATTGAAGAAAATCGAAGCACTTTTACTGTCCCAAAACGTGATGACAGAGACAAAAATAAAAAAATATAAAAATATAAAAATATAAAAAAAAACACACATCATTGTAAAACCAATACATTCATCGCTCCGCTCA